CTAGGATCACTATAGGACTTTTCTTAGCTTGTAACATAGGATCACTATATGTCCTCCTTGACATTACATTGGCTATTTACCTCTTCCTTGACCTATTTTTGGCACCCTTCCATTTTAAGCTCTTTCCCTTATTTCTTTGCAACAATTGATGTGACTTTTTTTTACTCTTATTTTTCAGTTTCTTCTTCTTTAATTTATTCCTTTCAACACTTTTCTTTCGCTTCTTTTGCACAAAGTCACATCCACTTCTATACTTTTTTCTCTTGTGAACACTAAACTCTTTTCATACATTTTTTTCCATTTGGTTTCCTTTTTCATAGCCACCCTCAACTTATGCATTTTGCATTAGTTGACGTGCACAATGTCCGATGACGGACCAGGGACAAGATCAAGGTAACTTTTGGTCTTAGCTACCCTCAACTTAGGCTTTTGACCTAAGTCAAGGTGCACATGCCCAAGGAGGTACCGGGGCCAAGATAGTGTTTTCAAGGGAATGTGAGTAAGGTGAATCAAAAGAATTGGTCAATTTTAGGCTCAAATATTTGGATCAAAAGGGAATAATGCTACAATTTGGTTAGATCATTTTAGGATTAAGTGGACTAATTTGAACAATAGCCTATGATTACTTCCTAACTTCTAGCCTAGATTATCCTAGCAGGACCAACGGGGCAAGTTTTAGATTGGCACAAAACTGTCTGAATAATCAACCATCCTTACACACTTTTGGCACATAGTTTCATTACCAGATTATTAGATTACCCAATTCAAGTTTTAGCTTAAGTTATGAAATAAAGTTGGTTCTTTATCATGTCATACTCAGAGCCAACACATTAAACTAATTCTAGCCTACAGATTTTAGCACATATCACAAATTTTGGACGGGTATCATTTTTCTTTCTTAATTATGTCATCATGCTTCATTCTTTCACATGCTTCTACACATACAATCCAAACACATCCCGGTTAAATAGAAATTAAATAGACTCTTGGGGAAAAAAGAACATAGGCAAGAAAACCCCAAGAGAGGATTATGAGTTAGGTTACTCAGACTTCGCCCTATCACTCACAATCCATTTACCCCACCCCAACAAAAATAGAGTGCAATTGTCCCCAATGCACAAAATAAGCAATAAAGAGTAGGGTGAAGGTGAAGCAAACCTGTGGCGCAAATTCACCGAAGAACTCAACAAGCAGGTGGGTCCGGTATCCCGGAGCCCGCTAGATCAACACTTGGGCCACCCTCAGTAGTGCCCACATCATCAGTCACAGCACCCTCAGTAGTGCTATCAATCACTCTAACCGCACCATTAGTGGATCTCATATCTTCTCCCACGGTGTCTGCAGGCTCAGTAGTGGGCCTAGAACTCGAGACTCCAATAATACTCTCACGAGCCATCTGCTGGCGCAGTTTCTCATCTATAATGGAGGCTCTCCTAGCCTGCTCATTCTGCTGGCGTTCCCTTTTCCTAGCTCAAACTACCTCAGTTGTGTCAGAAGTGTGAATAGAGCGGTGCCTCTTCCCTCGAGCACGAATGGGCTGGGGCTGTGCTATGTCATTGCTGAATTAAGCATCAAGAACGGTATCATTAGCCAATGCAGTACGTGTAGAATCTGGCTCATCTGTGGGTGGGCCAAGGATAGCATTAAGGTCGGCCCATAAACTGTCCAACTTAGTCCGGATAGAGGAGAGATCTGTGATGGGGGTTGATTGCTCAAGGACCCTCAACTTGAAGGCGTCGAGACACTTATGAATGGCCTGGACCTTCTGGTCCATCATGGTCTCCATCCTAGCCTCAGACTCTGCAATAGACCACTGCATCCATGGCCTCATATGTTGGAGCAGCGTTGCCATCTGAGCCTCAAATTTCTGAACTCTAGCCAAGGGCACAATAGTATCACCTGAAGGCGGGGTGGCT